TCTGGGCAACCTGTGCCAGTGCCTCACCACTCTAACAGTAAAGAATTTCTTCCTAATACCTATATCCTAATATCTCCTCTGCCTGGCTGGAGACAGGATTCTGGAGAAAATAATCAAATTACTCTGACCTGATACTGTGAAGGATGTGGAATCTCTATCCATAGAGAAAATTAAAACTTAGCTGGCCAAGCTCTTGAACAACTGGATTTGCTCTGAGCATGGTGTTGGACCCTGCTGACCTCCAGATGGTCTTTCCAACCTAAATCATCCCACTGTTCCATGATTCCACACTTAGGTTACGTTTTCGTTGTATACTATCTATATGTATTTTGAACAACAGCAAAAATTTTGCTGTGGTCTCAGTTTAAAAATATTCTAAATAAATCCACATTCCCTATACTTGGCAGTGAGTTGTTGCCTTTATGCTCACAATGAGCCATTCAAATGTCACTATCATTTCTTAAAGACAATGCATAAAATTATTTAAAAATGATTATGATCAAGAGGTATGTTATTCAGCCTACACATCATTTTTATCTATCGATCAAATGGTATCAGAGCAAACTAAAGAAATATAACTGGAATCAGATCCTGTATCTGTAAAGATGAAATAGTGATGCTCTGAAACCTTGGCTTACTTAATTTCCTCACAGATGTATTTTCATTACAATTACATACAATCATACACTTTTAGGGTATTAAAAACTTATTTCCTGTTATATAAATATAAACAACGTTACTAGTCTGCTTTTACAGCTGTTTAGTTTTATACAATTAAAATTAATCTTTCTGAAAGACAAAGATCTTAAAATGACCTAGGCAAATATGTAGATGCTCATTTATATGCATCAACCACATTAACAGGTCCTAGTCTTCATTCTATTCCTGTATACTTAAGTCATTAAAAAACCCTCTATATGTTAATCAAATTGGCTGGATTCTAAGACAAAACATAATGCACACACCTTCATTTACTTTATTTCGAACAAGTAAATTCAGGAGACACTTTTTTACCTTTGCTTTAGTCGTCTTTTGGCTGTTGTAGGAACATTAGCACCATACCCATACGAGAAGAGAACCCTTTCAGCTTCTACTTCATTTTCCACTGTAAAAAAATCGAAGAAAGGTACTGTTGAAGAACATAATTACAGTGCAAGAATGTACAAACTTCTAAGCAATGCTATTTATAATTATACACACGCACAAATATTTTTCTGGAAGCTAGATTTTCAGTTGGTGGAACGTTCTGGCCTTCAGTGGAACAATTTTGTTCACAATTAGCATTAATACAGTGCCACATATTAATTTTTTACAACACTGGCAGGCTTTTCTCTTTTTGTTTTTCTGATTAACATAAGACTTACACAATATGAGACTAAGGGAAAAGAGTTCAGTGTCCTTGAATATTCATATTATTACTGAATACACACTAACAGTGCAAGTTTAATTCAACAGTATTGAGTTAGGTTGCTTAGGGCTTTTTTTTATAAAGAATTCATTTTCTGTGCATACATGCAGAAGCAGAGGAAGATAAAATTAGGGAGTGCTTAAGCTGACTGGACATAAACAAGTCCATGGGACCAGAAGGGACAAAACCGAGGTTGCTAAGGGAGCTGATGTCACTGTGAGACTGCTACTACCATTTTCAAAAGACTGTGGTGATCAGAAATTTCTGATAACCTGAGCAACACAAATGACATACCCATCTTCGGAGTAGGGCAAGAAGGAGATTCTTACGTGTATGTAGAGTAAAAATATTCATAATAATCTCTGCCTCCATAGATGACTGATTTCTGAAAAGGTGTTTCTATAGATTTAAAACACATTGGAATTGCTTTGAACTGAAATCTCAATAGCAGTAAGATTAAAATGTGTACAGATTTTAATATTTCAGCTCGTACAATTCAGGTTTCCTCTCTCCTGTAAGATAAACTGGGCTAGGAAAAAAAAAGAAGAAAAAAAGAAGTGTGTGTGAGGTAAGCAGGGGCAGAGAAAGGGGGAGAGAGAGGAGGGGTAAAGGGGGACAAAGAGAAAGGGGGAACGGCAGGGGTGTGAGAGAGGGAGGGAGCACAAGTGAATACCAGCCCAAGCACCACACAACAGCTTTGATGAATCAAGTAGTTGGGAAGAGGAGAAACAAATTTAGGAAATGACATGACAGTCCTATCTGACTCATCTTTCCTCATGCTCAAAAGCCTCAAAATCAGAAGTACCTTCTCTCAACAACTTGCACAACCCTATAGGTTCTTTCCTCACTTGTCTAATACCCTTTAAATGCTATTTTAAACAAGGTTTCTTAAAACACATTTAGAAAGAGAAAAGCTTCTAGTAGAGCACTTCTGATAAGTCACATATCTAGTTACACAAAAAACAATACACAAATTTCAGTAAGTATGACACAAAAAGTTTACTGATGTGGCAGTCAAAGGCACCAGAACTTCAGATTTTCAAGGCTGTCTCAGTTATGATGGGGAATTCTCCAGTGGCTTAAATACCTCTGGTTCAGAAAAACATAAAAAATATTTTAACTTGCCTTTGTCATAATCCTTTTTTTCCATTACAAATTCAGCATTGCATGTCTCAGAAAAATGTCAGTAAGATCCTGCCCTATAAATTCATATCTGTGAGCAGTGTCCATGTAAATGTCAGATCATGAAGACAAATACAAAAAAATTTGGAAATGTTGTAGATCTGAAGCCAAAGTAATGTTCTGTATCAGTGTGTGCTTCTCTTATCTTTTTTTATGTCTTTCCAGGCTCTTCACCTGACTTTGTGGTGTAAAATATAAATTTTACAAGCTAGGGGACACTTATTAATGACAGTTCTTTACACTACTTAGCAAATAAGTGCCACTGTGAGGATACAGATAAGTTCAACTTTTTTCTTAAAAAGATACTAACCAATGGAAGCAAGAAAAATCAAACTACTAGACTACAACAAAAATACCCCAAAGTGAAGATTTTACCCGGAAAAGGAAGAATAGACAAATGCCAAGAAAGTTTACTCTTATTACTTATGTGGAAACCACTCAAATGCTGTAAGGAATGGCTACATAAATTCTTGATAGTTTCCTGAATAGGCTGTTTCATGTTATTTCAATATTAATAAAGTGAGGCATGAAGACGAGGGAATAACAGTCACAATTCAGTGATCTCTTCCACATGCCCATTCTCCAAAGGAAAAAATAAAAAGCTTATATGATTATATGACAAGAGCCATCTCACATGTGCAAATACACAGCTTATTAAAAAGTTCAGAGAACCCATCCCCCCACCAGCAACCCCAAATACTGTAAACCAGCAGAGGCTTCATAACTCAAGGAGAAGAAAAAATATTACATGGTATTGAAATATAAAGAAGTGACCACAGGATTGAAGAGCAAAATCTTATTCTCACTAAAGTCCATAGAAAATTATAATTGTCTTCCACACAATGCTTCAGCCTAAATTATATTCTCTGAAAGACAGACTGTAGTACTTCCACAACACATTAAATTTAAAAAATAATCATATTTCCTTTCTTTCAACTATTTTCTACCTTTAGCTATTTATGACATGTCAATACCAGGACATAATTTGAGACACAGAAACAGTTCATTTGTAAACTTTCATTTCTTTAAGTCATATTCTGTAACATAGAATATAAATTGTAATTAAAATACATACTTAAGGAGAAGTTAAGAATGATTTAGTTCTGTAAAAAACTTACTGCCATCCCAAGATGCATAAGAAAATGTAAATCAGTGTAAACAAAAAACAGTATTCTGAACTCTATCCTCTCCTTGAAAAAAACTTGAAAAAATAAAGGTAAGGTCCAAAAATTCTCTTTTAATATATAACTAGTCCTTAGGCAAGTTTGTACATATACTTCAAAAAAAATGTTACTGACTAAAACATGGGCATGTACATAGCAAACATGCTTATGATCAGACCGGAACCTTTGGATAGTCATGCCATTCTAACAAGTACAAGCTGCTGTGTTTAAAATCAATGAAATATGTACAGTCTAATTACTAAAGACACCCAGGCATCACTGCATCCCAGTAATACATACTTCGCTCTACACTACTGTTTATATATAAAGCTTATGCAATGATCTTCTACCTGAGAAAAAAATTTATAAATTGTGATTATTTTTTTGAGAAGTAAAGAAAGAAAAGGACAGGAAGATATATGAATTTGTTTGAAATCTTAAAATGGCCTACTCTGTTTATACACAGGCTAAAAAGACCTCAAGATTTGAGTTTTAGTTTCACATTAGAAATTACTTGCTTTGTGGATTCATTTAGGCTGAGAATCAAATCAATAGAGATTTCACAGAAATTTTGCTGTGTTTGAGAACAGATATTGTTATTTTTGCCAATCAGAGACAAAAGTTTTCAAGAATAATCAGACTCGAATTTAATTCAGGCTTTACTACTTGGAATAGACTAATCTACCACAAACAACTACTTAATGTCTAATTATTATTAATTCGACACAAGGAAGAGCTTTTTTCCCCCAATTAATTAAAAAATTTACATTAATCACTGTACTGCATTATGAAGCCTATAATTGTCTGTCAACAAAAAAGTTCCCTGGTACTCAAAATATACTTAAATAATAGGAGAATCCTAAAAAAAACCCATATCTAATTATAATGGATGATTAGAATAAGGAAAACAGAAATGAGGGAAAAAGAAATACTGAGATGATTTTTAATATCCATATGTCTAAGTTCATGTTTATTTGATACATATTTACAAATACCTTTACAGATCTGTCATGCATATTTTCTATCAAAATAATTACTGCATCTTAATTGTCAGGCATAAGGAGGGAGAATGACAGGTACTGTAATACTTTCTAAGTGCCACGAGAAACAAGACATTTTGTCATAATGCCAGAAACACCTACAGGTAGAATAGAATTTGTGACAGAATATAATTAGTGACAGAACTTACTTTCTGCTGTCTGCAATATTATCTCATCAAGCTCTTTTTCAAGTTTTTCATAAGTATCTAGCCTTGCTTGAAACTCAGAATTCTGTGTTTGAAGTTCAATAATGCGTGTTTCACTGGAAGACTGAAGACTGTAAAATTCCTTAGTAAGCACCTGTGAGAAGGAATAATGGAAAGACCAGGGATTCAGCATTACAGCTAGTTAAGAAGCAAAATATAATACATGTAAAATGCTTAGCAGTAGGATACTAAATATTTGATGTAACTTTTGCACAGGAAAGATTAAAATACTTTAAAAAGCAGTTATTTTTTTCAACTATATTATCGTGCACATATTACACTCTCAGGTCATATCACTTACGCCTATCTCCTAACACCTTAGTAATTCTAAGAAAATCTCTCTGAAAAAGCTACAAGAATTTTAAAGGAGAGTTAAGAAAAGCAAGGTAACAGCTGAAAAAATTAATACACAGCGGTCAAAACAGTATAAATGCATTTATTTTTGTTGCTTTAAGTAGATTCAGGGTTCAGTTATCAATTTAAAAAAAGAAGGTTCCTTTACAGAATGGTAAATACACAAACATCAAAATTTAGTATTTAAGATATACCAGATTCTTATTATTTACTTATTACTGAAAGGTAATACACCATTAACATTCAAGACTAATGTAAATACTTAATCCACTAAGCTTAAAAGAAAAGTTATAAAGGTCCATATAAGAACTAAAGCTCAGTATAGTGTTGAAAATAGAGAACAACATTGACAACATAAATATTATAAACTGACTGGAATGAAAAAATCCTTGGTAAGTAAAGTAGTAAACTACATGCTTTGCAGAAAACCCCCCACTAAAACAGGTAAAGTATTAGCCAAGTAGTACTGTAGCTAAGTTTAGTACTAACTTCCCAAATAAAAATCCCAAACATTCAAGATAACACTTGAATATAGATCTTGAGATACGGAAATACATGCACAGTGTATACAGCATGAATACCAGATTCGCTGTCAAAACCACTCAAGAATGCAAAACACTTAGATAAACAAGCCACTTGAATATAAAAAGATCGGTCTAGTGTCACAGAAGAATAGAGGTATAGGTTAAAATTTGGCAACATATAAACCATCTGTTTCCTAGTTTTAGCAAGCATAAGAGAAACTTATGCTGAAATCCAAATAAAAACAAGTGTTGGTTCACAAAGCAGCTGTAGCTGAGCCACAAGATATTAGTGATTACACTAAGATCAACATCCTCTAAGAAGGGTAAGGAAAACCCCTTAGTACATTGATACTACATATAAGAAAGGAAATTAAAAACTTAAGAATTCAGTCAAAAGGAACAAACGTAAAAGCTTCAGCCATCAAATATTTAAATTCTGCAAGAACATTTCTAAATGAAAGAGCACTGGTTTCAAAGCATCTCTCTAAAGAGAAAAGGAAGTGCTAAAAGTGCTAGTAGAAATGAATGCCAAATATTCAAGATGTTATTCAGATCAAATAAATATCCACAAAGAAGAAGGTAATATAACTCAAATTTAACTATCTTCTCAAAGTTTAGACATGTCTGCGCAATTAAAAATCTGTTTAGTAACCTCAAAGTCTCGCAAAACTGGCACTCCCAGTGCTCGTGACCACAACTAACCTCATTAGCCAGGATCTGAATGTCCCAAAACCTACAATACAAGAAACTACATTTTATCTAAAACTCTCTAATTCTGTTTCCACTCTATAGTTCCTTTTCATAAACACCCAAGGCAGGTTCAGCACTAGACATACAGGAACCAGAACAGCATCCTTCTCCAAAAAGTGAAGGCTGTCATAGCCGGCACTTGGAAAAAAGGTTTTTATTCTGTCCTGTCTGGTTTGTAACCTGACATTTGTTTTAGACATACACTGCCAATCTCATTTAAATCTCACAAACTGGAGTCACTGATATGATTTTGGGACTAACTTTGCACAGGTAAGTATTTTTTTTTAAAGTAAGTTAGCTCTGCTGAATACTGGACGTCTTTCCGATACTAAAATAGGTGAACAGGATATGATACATTTTTGAAAGATAATAAATTCTAAGCTTGTAGAGATAGAAAGGTCCAAGTCATTCAACTCAGCTACACTGGGTGCAGGTGCCCCAGCACTGGCAGCAGCGGGGTCTGCAGGGGCCTCTGTGAGGAGAGGCCGGGGCTGCCCCATGCCAGACACAGCCGGTTCCAGCCGGCTCCAACCCACCCACCGCAGGGCACGACTCAGCCGCCAGCTAAGGTGGGGGCATCTTGGAGAAAAGGTATTTAAGAAAGGGAAAAAACCTACACATAAAACATGAGGATTGAGGGGGACAACTGTGTAAGGAACAATCCTGCAAACACCGAGGTCAGTGCAGAAGGAGCGGGGAGGAGAAGCTCCAGGTGCCGGAGCAGAGATTCCCCTGCAGCCCATGGAGGAGAACGTGGTGAGGCAGGTTGTCCTCCTGCAGTCCATAAAAGACCATGCTATAGCAGATATCCACACTACAACCCACAGAGCACCGCATTCTGCAGCATGTGGACATGCCCTGAAGGAACTGCAACCTGCAGAGAGCCCAAGCAGGAGCACATTTTCTCCTGAAGGAAGCTGCAGCCCATGGAGGATCCACACTGGAGCAGGGTAAAGGTGTGAGGATGAAGGAGCAGCAGAGAGGAGCTGTTACGGACTGACCCCAACCCCTATTCCCCATCTTTCCCCGCACTACGTGGAAAGAGGAGTCAGAAATGAAAGAGGGAAGTTAAACCCAGAAGAGAAAGGAGTGGGGAAATATGTTTTAGTTTTTGTCTTTGTTTCTCACCATCCAAATCTATTTCAATTGGCAATAAGTGAAATTAATTTTCCCCAGGTCAAGTCTGTTTTGCCCACGATGGTAGCTGGTAAGCGATCTCCCTATCTTTATATCAACCCACGAGCTTTTCCAGCTTATTTACCCCCCCGTCCTCTCAAGGAGGGTGATTGAGAGAGCGGCTGGGTGGGCATCTAGCAGCCAGCCAAGGTCAACCCACCAGAAGAGGATTTGCAATGTTAGGTCTTTTCAATGCTGTATGCACCATGCTCTCCTTGACTTCTTCAGCTGTAAAAATTTGTTCCAGAATTGTGTATCATTAAAAACTATTTTCATTATGTAACAATCCTATTACAAATCCTAGCTTTTAATAATGATACTGAATTCACCATAACTGTTCTGGTATAACTGTCTTCTTCCCTACAATAATCACAAGGACTGACATGAGTAGCTTTGTGATACAAGCATATACATACCTCCTATGAATGAGGTACTGTCTTCAACATCTCTCCATGAGAAATTGTTTTGTCTTCTTCCTCCCCTCTAAGTCTTGTTTTCCATTGAACTGGTCAAACTTAATAAGCCTTGTCATTAGATTCTGCTTCAGCAGAATTTGGTGGAGATGTTACTTCAGCTGCGTATGTTCTTTGCTACTTTTTCCCTCAAGTTTTTGTGTTTTAAATTCTAACTGAAAACAACTATGTAATGCCCTGAAAAGTGTCTCTTTATATAACATACCTCCAGCTTTCTCTGGTATTTCTCACATTCCATTTGGCACTGTGAAAGATTCTTAGCTGTTTCTTGTTGCATGAGTTGCACATGTTCACTTTCAAAGGACTTTAACTTACTTTGGTGAAGAAGTTCAGCTACTTTGCTTTCTGTGCCAAGCTGCATTTGTCTATACCTAAAAGAAAAAAAAAAGAAAAAAAGAAGTTTTGATGATTCCCAAATAAACAAACATAGAATACATGCTAGTCCTATTCATTATAGGTATAAATTTCAGAAAATAATACATTTTTTAAGAGTTTAATAAGTATTAGTATGGTTATCAATGTAACTATTGTAACCTGTATTTGAAACATCATTAAGAAAATTCAGTACCGTAATGACAACAAAACACAGTACATGGAAAACACAGTCCATGGCTTTTCTGAATATGTGGTTAATGCACAATCAAATAACAATGACCTTACAGTATACCTTATTTTTTAAAAATGTTAGATCAATGTGAAACTCATTCTTGGTTCACAACTGTATGCACTGAAGTCTTTTCATAGGAGAGATACTAAGGAGATGTCGTCTTCTGTCTTCACCACCATGTGTTACATGTGATAGGGAGAAGTGGTATTAGGTATCAGTGGTATCAATGGCACATCCCTTGGGATATCCCTTTGGGATATCATGGATATCAGCTACACTGCTTTTTCCCATACCCAAAGATACGAAGAAATGTCAGAGCACAATGGTGTGTTAATTTCCACAGTCATTCAGAACCACAGGTCCTTCTTAAAAAGCAGAAATGAAGTATATTTTTGAGAATGTCACTATAAGGTAATAATAGGTGACAGATGAATAATATTCCACTTACTTTGCAATTCCATGCTGTTGCCTGCACACTGAATGCTGACTACTGTTCTAGTACCTCACCTCACAAGGAACATAATACAACTGGTAAAGCATCAGAGAACGGTAATAAGGATTACCTCTCACAACCAGCAACATCATGCACTTACTTACACAGTTGCATTGTGTGGAAAAAATTACTTAAGCAAGCTGGGACTCTACAGCTTGGAAAACAGATAATGTAAAGAAAAGGAAGAACTAAGAGAGGCCTGGGACATCATGAGTGGCATGGAGAATGAGAATAGGAATCAAATGTTTTTTCCAATAGATGAACAGGAAGGCACCTCATCAAGCTAGCAGATGCAGAATGAAAACAAATAGAAGTCATTCTTCACACATGAAAGCTGTGAAATTCCTTATCATAGGATGCTGTGGATGCTAAAAATTAACGCTTACTCAAGAGGATACTGAACAAACTCAGAGACACAGCAGAGAAATCCTTTGACAACTATTAAATGCAAGATGGTACTTCTCACACAGAAGTCACTTAACAACAAATTGTTAGAATCCCAGATAAACCTTTACTCTAACCCAGCATGGCTGTTATGTTAGCTGTCATTTGTCAAAGAGCAGTTGCAACACAATTCCATCCTATTTAGCACCTGATCTTTAGGTGGGATTGAGAGTGTTTAACAAAACCAAGGGGATTACTTCAAATATTTTCCCTGAGGATTTCAGATGTAGGAATGTTTCTAAAGCACAAAGAGGAAGTAATTTTCACTGGAATTAACTTGAACAGAACAAACAGGTGTCATTATGATGCCCTTTATAATCATTCTGTAGACATCCGTGTATGAGTAAACAGTCCAATGCATGACTGAGATTGTTCCCACGCAGGCTGTGTAAGTAAGAATTGGAAGTTCTGCCTACTGAGCTTATGAAAAGGTCGCTCTTTTTAAAACAATTTTCTTTTTCAATAGTACGACATTTGTTCTCAGAGTTACTGCACTCAAACTGCTAAATACCAATTACCTATCTGGTTATCAACTACAGCTGTCAATTTTGCTTGAGGATGCTTTTCAGGTGCTGATACTTAAAGTATTTCATCACTGCTCCCTGACTGTATGTTCCTATTTTCATTTTACCACACAAAAATAGTTTCAGCACTCTTAAATTCTCCACACTTTGTACATGATTGGCTGCAGACATGACACTAAATCTGTTCTGCTATACACATTGTTTACAATGGGAAGACTGTTTTGTTCCAAAATGAGTAAGTCTTCACAAAGATACGTGTCATCCAGCCAACTGATGTGCAATACAACATACAAATGAAATTTATCTACAAGTCATATTTATTGACTTTCAACAACAAATTCATATCTTCTGCTTTCATACAAAATAGATGGCAATACCTTCCTGTACACAGCTTCAGACCTTAAATTAGTCTGAGGTTCAATGATCTGTTCTGTACAGAGCTTACACATTGGAAACATGCATAAACATAGGCTATGCATACTTCTCTGTACCTACTCTCTATACTTTCCAGAGAGGCCCGTAGTTCTCTGATGATTTTGTAAGTCTACTAAATTAGCTGGGTGCTTCCAGAGCATGTTTATCAACCCAATCATGAACAGTAACTTCAGAAAAAAAATTTGTACTTTGTTTTGGAAATTTTAAGTAGCTTACATGTGCACGATCTGTTTTGTATGGTAAGAAGAGTCAGTTTTCTTTTGACCTTAGCACACTGTTGAGCTCACTACTAACTCCTCCACTGTAGCACCACACAGAGTTCCTTTGTCGTATTTGCTTCTACTTGGCCAGATAGTATCTCTGGTTTCTTGGCTACTATTTCAGCACAAGTGTGTGTGCATGTGCATACAGAGTCATGTAACACAATGTCAAAATACATTCCTTAATCTCCCTAGATGGTCTCGAAGGGGGGAAAAAAAAAAAAAAGAAAAGAAAACAAAACCACCCTGTGCTATCATGGAAAAAAATAGTGGAACGTGGGTGTGCAGGATTTTTCTTCATCGAGAAGTTTTAGCAAACTCGATACAGTGAAAGAGGAGAGGATTTTGTCTCACAGAAGAATGAGGGTTGAGAATGAACGGAAAATTCCAGATTGAGCTAATGAAAAAAATGGAAAAAAACCCACATGTCAGAATCATCTGGAATGAGGTCGCAGATTCATTATGTCTCTGAGCCATTAGGATGACCAGTCAATAATGTCTGAAGTTTGCTAAAGCAGAGTGACACAATGGTTATCAAAAAGGTTATTTCTAGAGCAAAGTAGAAGAGAGAATACTCAAAGAGGGACTCAAACTCTGGTTTGTAAGGATAGTTTTAAGATTTTTCAGTCAGAGGAGTCTGTTTTTGCAAATGGCGGATAATGATATAATAACTTTTCAAAATCTGCATACCATGTGAGTAAACTGAAAGATTTCATGGTAAAATCATGTAGTCTGTATACTGAAGAAAGTATGGCAGCCAACTGTTTTTGAATGGAGAACTACAAAACACACCCAGCACAGCCTAACCTAATATTGATATTCAAAGAGCTCTACCACATATGTGTGTAAAGTGAGATTCACTTAACATTTCCAACTTCTTATAAGCACCCTGTAAGTACTGAGATAGCAAACCTAACCTATTTTTACCTAACAGAAACAGACTCTTTTTACCACTGTCTATCCCATTGACAAAACCTGAGATGTACAGCAGCACTCCTCAAAAGTGTAATTTAACAATTAAGTACATCAGAAGACTAATTAGAATTTGTAAAATTAAGCATTCACAAAGTAGAAAATCCTAGTATTAAGCTTGTTAATAGGAAAGAATGCCAAACTAGTAAATACACATAATACATCTTCCAAAGGAAGTCAAACCAAAATTATACAAAACACCAACCCTTTCTAATTTTGCAAAATTGATTATACCAACCTAAAGCTCTTTAGGATATATTTTAGACATTATTTTCAAGTTTGAAAATGGAAAAAACCCAGTAAGTTGTGAAATCATCGTGAGTCCACAGGTAGGTCAGTTCCAGATCTAAGATCTTTAGAGTAATTACAATATACAAATGTCTGTGCTTTGGTTCAGTGCCAAATTTGAACAGAAACCTAAATGTCCTACTGCAAACCTCTTGCTTCCAGCCCCAACATGTCCCCTAATGTTCCTGCCCTCCTCCCTCTCTGTCCCAGCACCAGCCTAGATTTCTCCTGATTTCCAGTTCTATTTTCGTTCTTTCTACTCAGGGGATCTGTTTTCCATCTCACCTGTGTTACTAGCCTATTCATAGCTTCCATTCCTATCCTGTAGCCCTACTCTCCATCTGCTGGTTTTCTTTCAACTCCTATATCACCCTCATAGTTCAGCATCCTTCATCAAATCCTACCCATACTTCGTTCAACATGAGGTTCAAATTCCAGCTTAACTTCCTCACCTTTTGCAACAGAGTCTGGCTGTTAAGGCTTCTTCACTTCCAAAAATCCCAAAGGTAAGTGTAAAAGTACAGAACAGAATCTTCCTTAACTCTTCAATGTGCACTTACAGTCACAAAAGGAGTAACGGCAGTTTAGATAGGCCTAAATTAAATTCAGTCATGTTACAGACATGTCCATACACTGTCCATACACTGTCCATACCTGTAGCAAACTGTGAGACTCCAAACGTGAGCACTCAAAGGATCTTGTTTTGACTGGTTCTCTTTTTGATCCTTCGTACTAAAAACTAGTTGGCTTGTTTCTGAGAACTCAAAGATTGCCCATGAATTGAGTTCACATGGTACCCACTAAGTAAGTGAAAACGTAGGATCTCTGATCCTTAGTTTCAAATGCTTTCATTGATCAGCTTCTGAAGCACTGAACATGAATTTGATGCATCATGTATCTGACTGGTTTCATAAACTTCAAGTCTGTTTTAATATTTACTACAAAATGGGTAAAAACCTGACATTCTTCATTTAAATACATGTATTTTAAGGAGATTATTACAGTGACTGTATAGGCATGTTCAGTCTTTTGTACCATTTATTGTTTCATTAATGTCTATCAAATATGTTAAATTATTTCACATCTGGACTAAAATAACAATGCACTTAATAACAACAAATTTAAATACCTTCAACAAAAGAAAAAAAAAAGCTATGAGTATAATCATAGAATTATAGAATGGTTTGGGTT